CGAACGCACACGTTGAAGAGCTATTTGGTCGAAAAACTGCGACAATGACGGGCGGAGTGCCGGTTTTATAGAACTCGGCACACAAATACGAGTAGGAAAATAAGCTGTTTGAAATCATGAATTTGAAGTATGTAAGACAACTAGTTACTGTTTTTGTTCGGGCTGCTTTCTTATCGATAAGTCGTATCGTACTTCTGGAGTTAGCGCTTTTACAGAATTATGCTGTAACCTAGAGCACCGTCCTTGTCAATACAGTTCTTGTATTAATCCAGGAAGACCCTGGCGGGTAGGGGAGGTTGACGTTGGAAAATGCAAACATGAAGGCATGCCAATTTCCTGCGACCAGGTTTTCATGCCACATGTGCCCACAACAGTATAAGTCTCTTTCAGCCACTAATGGGTCGGAAGGTTGGCAAGCACAGCAACAAAGTCGCCAGATTACCCTCTTTTAGGAGCAACCCGAATTTACAGCGGGATTCTTCAAGGCGTGAACTTATCGTCACCATATCCTTACCCTAACCTAGGGTCCAAATACGTTTCTTACGAAAGGCTACTTATATGGCCTCCACGGCTGGACATGGAGATAGGAAATATGCCTAATATAAATGGTTTTGTACTAAAGTCTGGGGAAATTAAGGTTATCGGTAAGATTAAAATTAAGGCTAGCTTAAGGATAAGATTGGAGTTAACGTCGTTGGGGTCTAGGTTGGCGTAAAGACAGGATTAGGGTGAAGGTTTGGGTTGATGTTCGGGTTAGGCCACGGACATACTTACCCCTTTTGCAAATTAATGCAAATGGGAAGGGGTCCTCGTATTCCATGTTCTATCCGTGGGGACCATGTAAGTAATTCTGTATCATCCTCAGTTGCACGGCAAACCCACCCCTCGAGGATATTCTAGCATTAATTTAGCTTTTTATGATCTTCAGTACTTTTGAGTGCCTCTTTGTCTGGTTTTATCATCGTAAAAGATGGTAAAAAGAGGGGCGGGGTCGATTCTGCGCCCCTTTTGCTCAAGATAATCTACCTCATACACGAGTCAGTACGGTTCACCCGGTTTGGTGGTTTTCACTGTCATTTCCTATTAATAAACTGTTGCCTAATCGATCCTGCCGGTTACGACAGTTGTTATTTTCCATTTAATGAGGTTGTGGGATAGAAATCAACTGAATAAACTCACTGAACTTGGATTTCAGTTAATATCATAGCCGTTGGCGGTTAGCTAAGCTCTTCAGAGGACCTGCTATCACTCGAGAGGTGGCGAAACGCTAAAAAGACGACTTCAAGACGTCGATAAAAGCCACCCTTCCGTGATTTTTCTGAACTGCATGTAGGACTTACTGGGTCCTATCATCAAATTCCCCGGGAATTCAGCGTATGACACTCAGTGTAGTAACATCTAGACCTGAAGACCTCCCCGGTTTGTTGGCATTACCTCATGTTGCGTGGCAGTGCTGTTTACTAATTTATCCTAATTACAGGACTCAGTATGATTGTGCCATTGATGTCTTGTACGGCCGTTAGCGGTTGTTAATCAAGAATGTCTACAGAAAAGAAAAAAAATAGCGTCGAGTGTTGTTCTGTAGTTAGGGTAGGCTTGCATATTGCATCTCCATGCGATTTGACTTTGGATATCCTCGATCGCTGTCAACCTGCGTGAAGACTCGTGACTCAGCTCTCTGCTTCTGTGATCAAATCAGACTCGATTTTTTTGTTGTGAAATTTGAGTTTGGTAAGGACTGCCTGTCAATCCCTAGTAGGCCGCAAAATGCGTCCGTCTCAGTCTTGCTTATTTCTATCGGTAAAACGCCTCTGCTACTCCATGTTTTAAGTACACTTGCCTCGTGCTATTGTTCCTTCCTCCCTCCCTCCCTCCAAAATGCCCTTTGCCTTTTCATCAAGGAACCATCAACATACGACGTGCCTTCGAAACCCTCCGAAAACGGGACCGCAAATTCTTCGGAAAAGAAACAAACCCTTGCAGCAACTGCTGCGACAGCTTGCCTCGTCGACCTGGTCAAGGACTCGGACTCGGAGTCTGAGAGTGGGAAGAAGGAGAAAAATAAGAAGACTGATAAAGATGAGGATGAAATCGAAGGCGCCTCTTCTACCTCCGAAGTTTCTGAATCCCGGGATTCGGAATCCGAAAAGCAAGCACAGGACAGTGAGAACTCTGAGGAAGACCATGAGGCCGAAGACTTGTGTTCCTTGCCAACTCCCTTCAAGGCAAGTTTCTGCTCGTCTTTGAAGACGCTTCAGAGTCTAGTTAGAGGCAGAGCTAGCCGACTGCGACAATAAACAAATGGAGCTAAAAACAGGAAGGCCCCTTCTGTTCATAATTCCCCGAATTGTCTTGGACAGTAGAGATTTTTTTTAGGGCATACTGAGACCTGCTTGCTAACTTGTGACGTTAAAATAAAAAACTCATTGATTGCTAAAGTCCATTTATCGCCAAATGCACTCAGCCCTCATCAAAAAATTGTTCGAATGAAAACAATTTCGTTCAGTGATCTCAAAAAGTGGTGTGAGTAGGGCGAAAATGTTTGGTGTAGTCTGTTTAAGTACGAAAAAAGTAAGAATATCTAGAAGTGCTTTAACCCAACCTATCAAAAATTAGGGGATTGAATACAACTGCAGTAAAGGCAACTAATTCTATAAAACCAGTGATTTGTCCCAAACAAAGGCATATGAATATGCAATTTAACGAAAAGGCCAACTATAGTTTCCGATCCTTCGTTCGTCATCTCCAGAGCACCATCGAAGTCTGGAGTCAGCTTCTTTCTCCTTCTAAATACTTAATAGTACCTGATGTGCCTATCAACACTGAAAATATCCACTCTCAAACAATCCTCTACATGTGCTTTTCGAATTGTGTAACTGAATGTACGATTATCTCAACCCGATGTTGATAGTGTCGAAAAATATTTCTTCAGCTGCACATTCTACTGATAGTTTTTTGCAATGCAGGTTGTCGCCGTTTTTCCGTACAAGGCCCAAGAAGAGGACGAATTGGAGATGACGCAGGATGACGTCATCAACGTCACGGGTGGAGATGACATCCAGAAAGTGAGTGGGCCTGTTTTTTGAGATTTCTTTATCGCAGACGTCACTTCTCTCTCCCCCCTCCATCTTCCTTATCGTCCAACTCCTCTTAGAGTTCTAACTCTGGCGGATAAATATCACTCGTTGTTTGTATGCGTATACCTACGGCTTCCTGATGCTGACTGCAAGTTTCCTTTCTACCTAAGAGCCTATTTGCTACTCTGTTGAGCGACTGGGAATTTCTGTCAATCGTACTGTTTACGCTCTTACTGCGCTTCCAGCTTTGAATTTGGAAGTTATATGGCAAAACTGGTCCACAATATGCGGTAGCAGTCTACTATAGGGTTCACTGCGGAAACCGAACCCAACGAATTCTGTTATAAGGGGCCGGTTGTAATAGGGGTTATACGAATGAGACATACGGGGGTGCAGAAGATAAAATAAAAGAAATATATCAAACAAAACAGAAAAAAGTGAATAAAATAATTATAAAAAGCTAAGATATAGCAAGGACGAAACGTGCGATAACTGAAAAGTAAATAGAATATGGAATATAATTTTGTAAATGAAATAAATAATGCATAAATAAAATTAATTAATTAATTAATTAAAATTAATAAATAACCCTAATTAATAAAATAACAAATAAAATATACAAATTAATTACCTATTACCGTCGGTCGCGTATTATGAAATTCTGGGGATTTTCGGTTTCCGTATTGAGCCCTATCTTGGACTGTTATTCAATTTACTTTTCAACACGCAGTTATTTGTTTTAACAAACCATATGTGTCTGCTGCTGTAATTCATAGTCTGCGCCAGCTCCGCTAGCAAATTGATTAACGGCAATTGAAGGGTGCAATCAGTGGTACTAATGCTTGTCGATGTCCCAGTCCATGGCTTATTAGTTGAAGTGCCAGCAGCATCAGGTTTTATCAACTGTCCAAACAAGACACATGGGTCTAGGTATGGAAACAAACGGTGAGCCAACTTTATGGAGTCATTTCCTAATATGGCCTTATACCAACCCCCGCTAATGTTAAGTCCCATCGAGTGAATTACGATTCGTGTAGGTTAGAAGACCAGCAGGCGTGAGGCACACGCGAAGCATGCAAGACCCTCTCCAGTCATGCCAGCAAAACAGTACGTTGGTAAGATAATGTAAGAGACATACTGCGCAGCCTCCATAAATATAATAAATTAATGCCCAAGTCGCTATTACTCTTAAAGACTGGTTTGTGTCATTGTCGAGTTGGCCGGACAAATCCCCTCACCAATGAAAGTTTTTGGAAATCAAGATTTTCAAGACTTTAGATTCACACCGCTGCAAAAAAGGGGTCTGCTGGGGATTGTTTAGTTGCCTCTCCTCGCCTCGGAAGGACAGGGGAATAGAAAAATCATTTGCTTCGTACTACAGGTGGCATTGCGCTAGGTTTCAGGAAGGGTACATATGTCTCTGTCTAAACGCGAGCACCAACCCAAGCCTCTTCTCTAAGCCCAGTCTTAACCCAGCCCTGCCCTGAGCTCTAGCCTCATCTTAACTTTGGCACCAATCCTAAACGGAACTCTAGC